CGCCGAGGACAGCAAGGCTGCAGACGGCAAGAAGGGCAAGCGGAGGCCGAAGAAAAACCGCCGGCGGCACCATGCCTCGGACAAGAAGCTGTGAGGTGGGGTGGGGTGGGCGAGGGGCAGTGAGGGAGTGTGGGTGTCAGCTGAGTGGGTGTGGGTGGCCACTGAGGGAAGGTGGGTACCACCTGAGTGAGTTGGGGGATGCGAGTGAGCGTGGATCCTGTGGGTGAGGTGGGCCACTCCGGCGAGGGGGTAACTGAGTAAGAATGGGTATCATCCGAGTGGGCCTGGTTACATCTGACTGTGTGCGTGAGGGTGGGCGTTTGCATCTGAGTTAACGTGTGGGTTACAGCTGCGGGAGAGTGGGGCATGCATTCATTACATCATTCATTCATTCATTCATTCATACTCAATGCAGACATTGACTATGCCCCCGGCACTGTCCTAGGAGCTGGGAATACGGAAGGAACAAATCCTGCCTTCATTGGTAACATTTGAGTTCCTTGGATACATCTGAAGGGGGGTGGGTACCATTTGGGCAGACGCGGGTAATATCCGGTTGCGTGTGGCTCATTCATTCAGCAAATATTTCCCCGAGCATCCACGGTGTACCAGGCACTGTTCCAGGCACCGGGGGTACATCAGGGAACAAACAGCCCCCAGCCTTGCCCCCACGGCACTCGTGTTAAAGTATTGGAGTGGGTGTGAGTAGCATCGAAGTTACCTGGCTGCGTGCGTGAGCGTGGGTACCACGTGAGAGTGTGGGCAGCATCCGCGCACGTGTAACGTGTGAGTCCGGGTGGGTAATATTTGAGCGGTTGGGGAGTAGCACCTGATGATGTGGGGAAGGGGGGGTATTATGTGAGTCGGGGAGGCAACTTCTGAGTGAGAAAGCGCCTCAAAATCCTGCAAACGCGGCTGACTCCCGGGAGACACCGCGGGACCAGCCGCGCAGTCGCAGTCGGCGGCGCTGAGCAGCGCGTCGGGCCGTTGCCACGGAGACCGCGTCCCTTCCCCCACCCGCCCGGTGCCTGCAGGTGTTTG